CAACGATGGCAAGACAGAATTCTTTGTCTCTGCTTCACCGCATCATCGGTCATCCCATCTAATGAATGATGTCAAACTGATGATTGGTGAGAAATCCTTCCCACCATGTAAGTCCATCCGCAATCTGGGAGTAACACTTGAACCATCTGTGAACTTAAGTCTGCATGTTAACCTTCTAAGCAGAAGCATCAAGTACCACCTACGTAACATGTGGAGGGTGAGGCGGTTTATTGATCAGTCAACATGCCACGCTGCGGCGAGGGCTCTCGTCCTTTCCAGACTAGACTACTGCAACAGTCTCTTCAGTGTTCTCAGCCAGAGGGACCTTGATCGTCTTCAGAGACTCCAAAACTCAGCGGCAAGGCTTGTCTTTTCTGCTCCTCTTCGGACTCACATAACACCACTTCGACTTGAACTCCATTGGCTGCCTGTACGACAGAGAATAGCTTTTAAGATCCTACTACTGGTCTACAAGTCTCTCAACCACCGATGTCCCCCGTACATAGCTGACTGCTTGGTTCGTCGTCCTCGAGTCCGAAATACCCGCTCATCATCATCCATCTGGCTCACTCAGTGTCTCTCTAAGAAATGTGCTGGTGAATTGTCTTTTCCATCGGTTGCTGCAAAACTGTGGAACCAACTACCTACTGCTGTGCAGACGGCCTCATCTGTTGACCAGTTCAAGAAACTACTCAAGTCACATCTTTTCTGCTAGAAATTACTTTATTACCAGCCTACATATACTTTGCTGATCTCTGAGAAGTGTCTAACTTTTGTTTTTAAGTGGCCCAAACATTGTCGAGCATGTGTGCAGCGCTTTGAAACTGCAAGGAAAAGGCGCTATATCAAATATCTTTTGGATTGGATGGATTGGATTACATGAGAGAGTTAACACGTTAAGAATAACATGAATATATACACGGAGTGCAAGTACTCGTGGTAGATTTGTTATAAGTCTCTCCTTTATTACAGGGGTTCCCCATCAACGAGAGAAGGTCGGCTCTGTTGATAGTTGACAGATATATAGAGACATATCGTGGTTGTGTTGATAACTCACCGAGCTATGTACTACAATGCTCAGAGTTCAAATCCATGCCACATAACACTGTTGCCATTTGGGAAGACACCAATCTTCATTTGCGTTTCTCCAACGCAGTGAAAAGTTGAATCCAGAAAACCTTAGAAAATCATCTTCAAGATTACATAAGCCATGTTCAGACGGGGTTTTGCTAGTCGGCGTAAGTTGATCCCTGCAGCAGACCAAACGGCGATTCACCTCTTAGACTTAGGGCTAGTCACATGTGGGGTGTGTGTCGTAGTCGAGTGGTTTAAGCACTTGACTGGATATTCGAAGGTTGTGATTTCAAGCCCTGCTTCAACATTATAGTGTCCTTTAGTAAGACATTAATATACTTTTGCCTCTCTTTACCCGGATGTTAAATGGGTTCCGTTAGAAAGGAATTCAAGCAATCATGTATACAGCACCTATAATCGGTAGTCAGGCTCCATCAGCCGGGATAATATAATTCATAATTTGTAGTGATATTTAATAACACAAATTCAAGTTGTAAGAGTACTTTATGAGTGAAACTATTGAAATATACGGCATTTTCTATACTTGTCTAGTTAATCCACACATTTGTCTATTTATCTTTCTCCGCTATGTAACGGCAAACCGGTGTTTTGTTTTTATTTTATCATCCGGTAATCTTTCTACTTCTCCTTTCATCTCTCTATACTTCATCTAAAATAATGAAGTTGGTAGTTGAAGAAAGTCTCCCAAAAGATGTTTATCTAAACATTTTAGGCAATTTTTAGTCCTTTAATTGACACCGAATAGGCTGATGCTTTTGAAATATACATTTTGGAGACTTTGCGAGCAGTCCATTTTTTAAGGATAGCTGTATATCTCAGATTTACATACCCATTCAATCTCTCGACTTGATCCCTTTCTTTACATGTATTCCACACACACACACGCAAACGCAAAAACACACCCACCCTATCTTGTCTTCCCCTCTCTCAGATTGTCTGATCAAAAACAAAAAGTTTTTGAATCGTTCTACTTCATTTCCAGAGTCAATCTCGCAGCCTTTTTCTTCAATAATAAGCTGTACAAGTGTTTGCTTTACCCCTTGATCTCTCTCTTTCTCTCTCTCCTTCTCATTGATATTTTGCTACTTGTTTTATTGCTTTGTTTATCAAGAATCGATCTCGCAGCCTACTTCTTCAATGCTAAGCTGTATAAGTATTCCATTTACCAGTACAAGGGAGCTTTCGAGGTCTTTAAGGTTTTTCTCGGTCCCCTTCATCCGAAATCACAGGAGGCTCGGCAAGGCCAAAACATGCAGAGACCATTCACTTTGGTGCAATGAACATCTTTTCATGCTGACGTCAAAGACGTTGTAGCATTTCAATTGGCCATTGGACGTTTTATAAAGTTCTACCGGAGACGTTTATTCATTGCACGTTTTGTTTTACTTCTGATGTTTTTCGAATGAATTTAAATTTATATTGGACAAAGTGAAACAAGACAATACTATAAAAGGGGGTATTATAATAACTTATCTGATTGGTGCACGTCTATAAAACCCTAATTAAAAAACACACGCACACACACACACACACACACACGCGCACACACACACACACACACACGTGCACAACACATGGGCTAGGATTGTGTACTTGTCTATATTGGTTTCATTCCATAGCTTGTTTTTCTCTTGGTATTTTTTTTTAATTCCTCTTGCCATTATCGCCGAATACACAAACGGTTTTCACACTTTATTGAGTTACCTTAAGAATTACATGATGAGAACTACAGAAGAGTAGCAACAAAGACGAAAATATAAACGAGAGATTGTTTATGTGAGATAAAAACAATTTAATATGAATAAGATGTGCTTCTTATACTACGTTAAAAGAATTGAAAACGAATGGGGCTGAATGCAAATCGATACTTAATATTAATTCAAGATTCATCATCAATTTGTGTCTGTTTACAATTGATGACTAGCAGATTGACTGTTACTGATATGCAAGAATGCAAGAACTGTGTTCGTAAGATATCTATCTATATATTTCCCTACATATACTCTCTTCTCTGAAATACGTTTTCTACAATACATCAATGATGGTGATATATAATAATTCTAATAACAATATGAGCAATGATAATGTTTGTGAAACACATCAGTTCAATAATAATATGTACAAGGCGGCAACGGAAAAAAAAGCTGTATTTGTCTCTTTTTCTGCCTCTTTCCTAAATGCATGAATACAATTCACTGCATCAATCTTGCAGCCTACTTCTTCAATGCTAAACTGTACAGGTAGTCCCTCTACCAGTAGAAGAGAGATTTCGAGAAATTCAAGGTTTATTTCGGCCCCCGTTATCCAAAATCATAGGAGACTCGGCAAGGCTAAAAAGAGCTGAGAACATTCACTTTGGTGCAATGAACAACTTTCCATGCTGACGTCAGAGACGTTGTAGCATTTTAATTGGCCATTCGAAGTTTTATAAAGTTCTACGAGAGACTTTACATGTATTCACTAAATTATCGTTTTGTTTTATCTCTCATTTTTTCGAATGAATACAAATTAATATTGGAAAAAGTGAAACAAGACAATACTGTGAAAAGGAGGGATTTGATTTATTTCCACAACTTGTCCTAGTATTGGGTGCTTGTATTTAACTCTCTATTGGTTTTCTTTCCCTAGCCTTTTTTCTCTTGGTATTTTTTAAAATACCTATTCTTTTAAAATTCACCATCCCACCATAGCCCGATACACACACAACCTTCACACTTCACTGAGTTACCCTTCCATAAATGGGTGAAATAAGAATGAGATGTTGTTGAAAATTCCAGAAGTCTATGAACAAAGACAAAGATTTAAACGAGATATTATTTAAATGAGATTTTAAAAAAATTGCATCTTACATTTTGATATAAGTATTGAAAACGAAAAGTGCTACATGGACATCGAGGCTTAATAATATTTAACGATTATTTCATCATCAATGTGTGTCCGTTTAAAATGGATGACTAGTAGATTGACTGTTACTTTATACGCAGGAATGCAAGAACTGTGATCGTAAAATATCTATCTCTAAAATTCCCTACATATAGGTTCTTCTTTGAAGTACGTTTTCTACAATACATTTATGATGGTAATAATAATACTAATAACAATATGAGCAATGATAAAGTTTATTAAACACGTTAGTTCAATATTTAAAACTTATGTATTTACAAGGTGCAAAGGAAAAAATACAATATTTGTAGTTTTCTCTATTTCTGCTTCTTTTCTAAATACATGGATACAATTCACACGAGCGGATCTAGTTTTTTTCTAAAGGGGTGTTTGACCAAGTGGCGGATTCAGGATTTTCCAAAAATTGCACTGCTTTACTTTTTTCTTCTTTTTTCCTTCTCTTTTCCTTCTCTTTTCCTTCTTTTTCTCCCCTTTTTTCCCCCTTTTTTCTCCTCTTTTCCCTTCTTTTTCTCCCTTTTTTTTTCTCGTTTGGCCGCCCAAGGGGGGGGGGGGGGGGTTAAACCGCCGAACCCCCTAGATCCGCCCTTGATTCACCGCATCTTTTTTGTTGCTGACATTCTTGTGGGAAATAATTAAATAATGCCAGACAACATTTAGCAAATAATCTAATTGAAGTTTCCTTATGTTCAAACATACGTAAAAAATATTACAGTACTTATTTTCCAAATAACCCTCGAAAATTTAGGATTATTATCTATTTAAGTGAATACTTAAGTTTAAGTGAATACTTATTACAGCAACCCGGCATAACTTCCTTCATGTTCAGCCGATACTAAAATGAGTAACACTGTTTTGAGGAAGTTGTTATATGTTTCGTTATCAAAGTGAAAAAGCTGAGAAGCTGTGTGTGATAAAATACAAAATGTAAATTCCGGTGTTTTTAAATGTGCTTACGAAACCCCACGGTAAACCGGCACGTTCTTATGACAGGCGTTCGTTAATTACGTCGGACGAAGCTTCATCTCCGTCTTCTTGAGGGAGTATGTATAACCGAGCCAGTGATACCATACCACACCCTTGGCCGCGTTCTCCGCTTGTGTGGTTGGACCGTTCAGGTATAGGCCGTTTAGGTTGGCATGATGGCAATCATTGTACCACCAGCCTCCTTTTAACAGGTCGGCGCAGTGTCCCCCTAAACCATCATGATCACGGTCCAGTGTACTGAACGGATAACCTTCATGATACGACATACTGTCACCTGCATAGAAATGAGAAATTGATTTATGGTTTACACATGATATAAATCAATTCAAAATAGATACGATCTCCCCGTACTCGATTTGAGGCTGCGTGTATGTATTGTACGAAGCCGTCCGTTTGTCTGTCCATCGGTGAATGCTGTGTCTTCTGTATTTCGATATAACAGACAGATGCGTTTGGGAGTATTCGTTATTATTCATTGATACTTTTTTCAACCCCTCATTTCTCGACTTGATATCCTATTACGGGTTAAATAAAACAAAAACAAGCAAACAAAAACTCTCAACCACAAATCCCCTCCTCCCCCCCCCAAAAAAAAAAAATACTGCTGTCGTTTACCTCGTCACTGTGAGAGAGCGTTTGATAGTTATTAACTGTAAAAATAGATTTTGCCCCATGACACTATTAACGATAACCGTTTTATCGTTTAACCGTATAAATGTATGATTGTATTACCACAGGGCCTTTAACCGTATTACAATGAACAATATTAAGAAATTACAGTATACAGAATTCCTTTTTTTAATTTAAAAAAAAAAACTGTTTTACCGAATTAGCCTCCCGTATTAACATATTACCGTATAGCATATCATGTAGTACCATATTACTGTACCTTTGGACGATTCCGCGATTCCGCATTGGTCCAATACGACATACCCCCATTTATTCCATATAGAAAAAAGAAAAACAGACACCTTAATTGATTGTGCCAGTTAATAATATCAGTGATACCAAGAGGAACCACATTTGTGATGACTTAAAATGAATAATATTATGTACAGGCCACATTGCAGGGGATCGCCCTATTACATACCTGCGTCTCCGGAATAGCTGCCAAGGGCCAGCGTGTACTTTGCGACCTCGTCCGTAATACTGAAATTGCTGTAGGCGGCATAGCGCGTTTGTCCCTCGAAGTCTTCTAGGTCGATCCGTAGCTCGTAGGTCTTATTACGGGAAAGACGGTGGATGTTGTCGTTACCGAGCCAGTGCTCGGAGGAAACGTTTCCAAAACCGTGTTTGTACTCGGACCAGTTAAGAAAGAAGTCAACAGATCCATCTTGTCTACGCTGGAAGACCTACAGAGAGAGTGGGAGGGAGGGATAGGGGGTGGGGGCGAAAGAAAGAAAAAAAAAGAGATAGAGAACGAGAGAGGGAGAAAGAGAGAGAGAAAAAAGAGGCATAGAGAGAGAGAGAAAGAGGGAGAGACAAAGAGAGAGGGAGAGACAAAGAAAGAGAGAGAGAGAGAGAGAGTGTGTGTGTGTGTGTGTATTAATTATTAATTCAGAACATTAATAACACTTGCGATGATTGAAGATGCGATGTGTGTTATCAAAGTTTATGTAATTACTTTTGAACAGTGTAGCAACACGAAGAAGAGTGGCTGTTATCACGTTTCGCTCCAATAATAATAATGCGATGGCAAAGACTTTTAAAAGATCAACCAAATCAATATCAATAAGCAATATCGATTCTATTTATCATGAGGGCCCAGCAATTAGCAGGTACCTGTTGACACCAGGGCGGAGAGTGGGAAAATGTTGATGGATGAAATAGGATACAGGGTATATATTACCCAAAATTTGATTCTTAATACGATCCATTTTCGAAAAATCATCTAAAAGGAAATTGTAATACCCTATTGTATTCCCTAAAGAATTTTTTTTTTCTATTGAAATGTTTACATACATTTAAATGGATGACGCACAAGGCAAGGTTAATTTTTCGAAGATACTTGCTTTAGTGTTTTTTGAAAATCTATGCGATCATTTTAAAAGTGGACGGGGTTGATGAAGTTGAAATTCGAGCTATCATCATTTCTCACCGTCCAGCGACCTCCGTCCGTTTCCATATCACAGTAAACGAAGAGAGGATCATCCCCAACTCCATCGGGATAGATGGGATACACCCCACTGAGATGGGATAGTCCACCAGTCTGAATCTCAGCGCAGTCACGTGGGAGTCTAGGAACTGATAGGAAAAACAAAGGTGGTGTAGGTCAGAGGACCAGCCTCTCATAGAAAAAGATCTATCCTTGCTTGGTACTTGGTGTTGTGCTGAAACAATACAGTGTAAAGCTGTACACATAGAAAATGTCAAGTTGACAAGTAACAGGAGGGGTGATTATACCAAAAGGCGCACTAGGAGGATTAAAATAACTTTACATTTCATTAAGTCGCTTTAGATCCTGAATGATTGAATAAAACATCTCATTGAGAGAAATAACACGTTTAGACTCTAATGGCCTGATAATCTAAATTTTATTATGAACAATAATTGCTGCTATATAGTGCAACAAAAGATGAGGACTAAAGAGTGCGAGTTAGTAATTCAAAAGGACCCTTGTACTGTTCATATTTTATTCATTTTGTTGACAATCCCTGAATGCTACTGTCCAATGGTGCGTCAAACACCACACAAATCACGAATTCAGCCATGCGTCACAAGAATGACGCTCCGTTTGCAAGAGACATATAGCGGTTATAACGCCGGACGTTGAGCGGAAGGTGTCATTCGCCTGACGTAGGACTGCGTTAGCGACCTGTGTCGTCTTTGACGCATCGTATGAATGTGACACCGTATAGACAATAATACTTATAGATTACTAGCCATCATAGAATTGATTTTTACATACACAGTCCTACATCAGATAAATGAAACCTTGCGTGCAACGGGAATGATATGAAATGCTCACCGGCCGTGGCGGTGACTTGCGTCATTTCGGGCGGTATGATCGTAGACATGTCAGTGAAGTGAGTCATGGCTGATGGTGCTTCTGTCGAAACACAGGATTCATACAAAGCATTGAATGATAATAAAGATGATAATGGTGATAATGATGATCACAATAATAATACTATAATAATGATACCGACAATAACATTTATGATGATAATAACAATAATAATAATCATCATGATGAAAATGATAATAATAATAATGATAAAAAAATCATCATCATGAAACGAAGAAGAAGGAGAATAAAAACAAGAACAAGAACAGGAAGAACGAGAAAAATGGCTTTTGATAAAGGATATTTAGGGGGTCTAGGGGTCACCTATCGTAATAGGTTCGTGAAATGTGAATTAAAAATGCCGCTTGCTGGCAATGATTAATCTGAAATGCACGAAGTGTGATTTCTCCACGACTGTATAAAATATATGGGATATTCGGTTTCATTTGAACCATGATGTAATTCTGAAATCATCTACAGGCCTAACAAATAACCCCACTAGGGGTCACATGAGATTTACAGTTCTAATATAAACATTGTTCCGCCCCTTTGGGTTTCAGCCGTCAGAATTGTGGAAAGATGTATCAAAAGAACAACTTTTACCAAACCAATATCAAAACTTGTATAATGCTGGTACATTTCTGGGGCGGTATACCCCCTCCCCCGACAAATTAATTAAGTATTAATCCCCATGATCTCAAATCCCCCTCCCGAATGCAAAGGATTGTGGCCCTCTTTTACTGTTATGATTACTTTATCTCTTTAAAATATTGTAAATAGACTGGATCAACTCTCTCATAGTGTTTTACTCATTATGCCTAGTTGCCTTGGCGACAATAAACAAAATGTCAACTTGGTGATGGAGTTCATATTTGCCAATTTTGTCCCGTCAAACTTTGTTTCTGATAAATAAAAAATTCATTTTGTATTTTATTGGCAAGGCTACAGGAGATAGAAGCATTTGCCTCCCCCCCAGTCCCTCTATCCCCCCCCCCCCTCTCTCTTTCTTTTGTTTTTCTCTCTCTCTCCCTATGTCTCTTTCACCTGTGTGACTGAAGATCGCTCAACAACAAAAACGGCTTTTAACAAATCAATTATTTGTTAGCTAATACGCTTTCAACACAATAGTTGATTAGTAATCAGTAGCACCGTGCCATTTCCACGAATTACTATTTTTTTTTTTTAATTTGATTCAACGATTATTATGAAGAAAGAAATTTTGTTTGGCGAATGTATGTGGTACTGCTGCAAACTGTGAGGCGTGGAATCATCGAAAAAAAAGAAATAGTGATAATGATAATAATAATGATAATAGTAATGATAATACTAATACTAATAATGGTAAAATGAATAGTAGTAATAGAAATAGTTATAATATAAATATTAATCATATTAATTATAAGCTCGATTTTTTTTTCCAGCTATCTATAGTTACATGATAAATATGAGGTCAATATTATTATTTTTCATTTATCTTTTTCCGAATCAACATAAAAAGTATGAGAAAGTTTGGAATTTGTTTGTTATCTCTACCAGAACACAGCAGTCTTGTCTTTAAGAAATGATATGGAATTCTGGTAATAAAATGGTTCCTGAAGATGGAGTATCTTTGAATGGCTTACCATCCATTAGTAAGCATTTTGTTTGGACAGCAGAATGTGATCAAACAAACGAAAACGTACTGGGAGGGCCTAAAAGTTCACATATTCTCAATGCACGTTTATCACTTATATGCATGAGTCGTTCGCCACTAATAGCACATGAGGGTGTGTGCGTATGTGCATGTGTGTGTGTGTGTGTGTGAGGTGTGGTTGCGTGTATTGTGCGTGTATGTGTATTGGGGGTAGGGGTGGGCGGGTGCGTGTACATGCGTGAAATGGAGTATGTATATGGGAGTGTGCGTGTTTGCGGATTGGTGTTGGTGAAGACATTCATAACAAGGAAATTTGAGCAAAGTTAGAATTTGAATTTGAATTACATTCTAATACATTTCATTCAACTGGACTGAACTTAAGACATACATTATGTTTTCTATTAGCAAAAAACAAGTAAAACATTACTATTCAAGACAGAAAAGTACAACAGAAACATGCATTATTTCTTGTTAACAGAAAGAAAGGCTGTATACATTGTTTGATTTGTTCGTTTTTTTTCCCTTATTCATCTTCTTAAACTTGTCTCCTCAAAAATCTATTATTCCGCTACCATTTTATTTTCTGTTCATTCAATTTTATTTAATTGTCCTATTCCTAAGTCCCCTATTTCTAACGTACCCGAAATAATTAAATTAAAAATTAAAAATTAAAAAAAAAATAAAGATCTCTTCACTATTAAGCTAAGTTTTGTTTCTCCCCAGCATTTCACACATACTTGTAAATTATGTATGGGATTAGACCACAGCCCCATCTACTGACATTTTATGAAACCTTCGACTTTGGGATTTCATATGATAGACAAAACGTTGAATCGTGCCAATTTCCATGATGTTTGAAGAAAACAAATTTTAAAAAGGGATACATTCTCTTTATGTAAAGGATTTGGCAAGGGAAAAGGGGGGACAAAGCGAGAAGGCGAAACCAAATTGCCAGTATTAAGAACAATAAAATCGAAAACCAGGTAAATGACCTAAACTTTCCTTGAGTTCACTAATGTTCTCTTATCAGACAACAACTCCGAGCCACGCATCTTCCTTATCAGGGCTCTTTCTTTTCTCCTCAACATACCCTCTTCTACTTTCTGCACATTCAAACTTTCTGAACCATATACCATCGCTACTATTAGATCTACTGCTATGATATTCATCAAAACTCACATGACATGAAAAGAATAGGAAATGTCACAAAATATCCTTATTATGTTTCCTTTTTAAACCTTTATCAGAACTCATTTTTGTTGATATATTGTTCTTACGTTCATTGCAGTGTTTCCCTTGAAATCCAGCTGAACAGTGGCACAGATAACTTTCCATAGTCTCCTCGCACCAGCTGTTTTCACAGAGCTTCTTGTCACAATCTATTAAAAATAAAGGAAAGAAACTTCGTTTGTGTGTGTGTGTGTGTGTGTGAGTGAGTGTGTGTTTATGCGTATGTCTGTGAAACGGGTGAGCATGTTTTGGTCTTGCTTTTTGATTGCATGCTCAATCAAACAAAAAACCTACGACTTTATATGAACTAACGGAAATGGAAATATGAAACTGCCAGCTTTTACCAGCACAAATTTGTAGTTTTTTTCTTTACCTTTTCATTCTGTGAATAATTGTACATCTACTTATTCTTTGATAACAAAAAGAGGGAAATTAACCAGACTTTAACAAAAAAGTCTAACAACTTCTACCAAGGCCTTGGCATCAGGAGGGGCATAATATTTGTTTTCCCGCAACCCAGTACAGACAAATTAGTAAAATCACTTATTGAGGGCTATCGGATTATTAAAGGGGAGACTGACTATTTATATAAGGAAGGGTCTTTTGAGACCTTCGGGCGTTTCACAAAATATCGACTTAAGTTGGACTTGAAATATGGCAGGCGTTTCGAGGGACGTAGAAATCGTGGTCACAAATTTATAGAATTTGTTGTAGTTAATTGTTAAAGCTATACAATTATCGATAAATCATAACTTATTGGGTATTTTTCCTCAAATTGTACATCTGGTGTAAGATATTTTAGGGGCATATACTTCCTATCATCATAAAATAGTATCAGTCCAAATCTTTTGTAGAACTTGAAATTACATTCATTTTTTCAATGAACTGTAAAATAAATGTCAATTATGTAGATTTGTGACGACGATTTGCACATCCCTTGAGAGACTTATGGTGAGAGCAACCAGTGCATGAACGGCCTGTCATTGTACGATTCCATCTTAAGTTGATTTTTAGTCTTTGTGAAACATCCCCCTCCAAGATCTGTCTTCATTTCATGCCTTTACATGTGCAATCTTACGAGCTAACAGAATTATTCCACACCCGGTTAGCTACTAGTTTACACAGCATGCTGAATTTTTTTCCATGGTCGAAAATTGTAAGGAGGGACGAAATAATATTACTCCCTTTGCTCCTCCTTCACAAATGCCGGTACATACTTTTTGTATTGGTAAGAGGTACAGCAAAGAGAAAAGCTATAGTAATAATTTTTCCGATTGCAGTTTGTTTTAATCGTCTTTGTGGCCATGCCTTGAACCATAATGCATGGCCGTAAAGAGGAATTTTTGCTGTTTGGAACGATTTATTGCATTTTCTATGTTGTTTTTTATTTGTGGGAGATGCCTTACGGTCACGATTCAGTGGCAAAGCAATGGCCTCGTAACTGTGAGGCCCCAGGATCAAAACCGTGTCGATGTGCTATATAAATGCCCTTTTGTGAGGCATTAATCCTCATTTCTGTCAGTTATGACTTAAGGACGCAGGTCCCCTTGTTGATAAGCATAGTAGCATACACATGCTTTAGCAGTCAAGCAAAACAAACACTAGCAAATCTTTATCCAATAAAATCTGAGAGTGTATACTATTATTTAGAGGTATTAGAAATAAATCATTGTATAAATCGTTCCATAACTTGGGGTAAAAGAAAATATTCCACCTTTATGACAAACAGTGTACAAGAATCATCCCATCTATTTTTAGTAGGTATTGTGTATTTTGTATCATAAATGCATTTTGGCCACGTGTTATGAAGGAAAACACTCATCTGACAGAACCGTAAACGTGAGGTTTGCAAGGTAACGGGGTAATTCATTGTAAATATGTTGTTTGATGGTGATGGTAATGAAGTTTTGACTGAAACCTATATGAAACCCGAGGCCCTTTATTTGCTCTGTACTATACGAAAAAAGTCAGATAGTTTTTATTTTCCCTCAAAGAAATTTTCAATCACACAGACACCCTAAAAACAACTATTGCACAGATGTTTCTATTCAACTCCTGTAAGGAAAAAAAACTATCCCGCCATCAACAACAAAAAAGGTTTTTGAAATGTTATGTGCAGAGCATATTGGTGACCGTGTTTCCTATTTGTGATTGATTTATCACAA